AATCAACAAAACGCTTCGTACAACTCAACTGCTCTTTCTTGATCAGGATGTTTAATGCATTAAAAAAAATTTCACGTACCTGGCGTTGTTGTATTTCCTTGTTAAACACCAGCTTTGGAGCTATGTTGTACTAAAGTAAGCAGCAAAGTGAAGAAAACACTGCTCTCTGGACAGGTCAGTGCCCTTAAGAGCACTGGAGTGACTAGAGAGATGGAAGTTTACTCAGGACAACCTTTGAGCTATTGATTGGTTTTGTTAGATTAACAACAAGCAAAGCAAATTTGACTAATAATGGGGAATCGGTTCAAAACATTGCTAAAAAGAACTATTTCAGTACAAATGCCTGAGGTGAAACTATTTTGTTTGTTATCAGTTGTTTTGCCGTTTGTTCAGTGTTCAACACCTAGTGGTTGTTGTGTAAAAGTGCATGAATTTGTAAGAAAGACCAGATAGGAAAATGGTTTACAATGTAATTTAATCATAATCCATGCCAGAATCACTGCTGTACATAAAATACATTTCTTAAATATTTTTTTTCAAGTTTTTTCAATATCTAATTCAAAAATCCAGTTAGCAATACCCCCTGCAGAAGAAAAGCAATTGTATTATACAAAAATGCAATCCAAAATTTCACACAGTGAATTCTTGTACAAAGAGGGAAAAAAAAGGTATTACAACTACATCCACATTGGAGAAATATACTAAACATTCCTTAATGGAGTATAATATATAAGCATTGACTTTCTTATTCAGGTTGAAGTTAAAATGTACCTTAATTTAAGCAGTCTATCATGAGATAACATGGGAGAAATCATCAAAAACAATTGTATATCCCGATGTTAGGAATCATGGTGAAAAGACCACAATGCAACACCCCATCTCACGAAAAATAGTCAATACATGAGTGCAAGCAACGAGTTACAGTGGGAACAAACATACAGAAATGAGGTGGACAGCACTCTCTTTGGACACACTTGAACACAAACACACAATCATTCCTTTCAAAACTACATCCTACAGCTAGCTAGAGGCTAAAACACTAAAGCCTGTACTTGTGCACAACCCTTGTGTTTTCAAGTAACATTATGGCTTCTCGTAAATCTACTATGTGGTTTTTGCTTACATAAAATGTGTTTACTGTGTATATTTATTATGTATATATAAATACACACTCATACAGTAAATATTTTGAAAATATTTACATGTATATATTTATATTGTTATTTTATATTATATATAAATATATTTAACATAAGCATAACATGTTTTTCATAAATATATACATGCATGTGTTTTTATTTATACATACATAATAAATATACAATGCAATCCAAAATTTCACACAGTGAATTCTTGTACAAAGAGGGAAAAAAAAGGTATTACAACTACATCCACATTGGAGAAATATACTAAACATTCCTTAATGGAGTATAATATATAAGCATTGACTTTCTTATTCAGGTTGAAGTTAAAATGTACCTTAATTTAAGCAGTCTATCATGAGATAACATGGGAGAAATCATCAAAAACAATTGTATATCCCGATGTTAGGAATCATGGTGAAAAGACCACAATGCAACACCCCATCTCACGAAAAATAGTCAATACATGAGTGCAAGCAACGAGTTACAGTGGGAACAAACATACAGAAATGAGGTGGACAGCACTCTCTTTGGACACACTTGAACACAAACACACAATCATTCCTTTCAAAACTACATCCTACAGCTAGCTAGAGGCTAAAACACTAAAGCCTGTACTTGTGCACAACCCTTGTGTTTTCAAGTAACATTATGGCTTCTCGTAAATCTACTATGTGTGTATGTGCACGGCGCATACTTTCCCCTCCAGGCCAGGGAACAATATGTACCATTAATCATTTATCTGTGTGGGAAAACATACTACAGTCTTAGTTGTTTCAGGCACCAAGTGTCAAAATTCAGATTTCAATTCCTATTTTTTTCACGTTTACAACTTTTGACACTAATTAGTACTACATTCGTATTTTAAAACGAACCCTGAACATAGTCAACAATCACAATAAGAAAATGAGTTCCAGTGAAGAAACACTGAGACTTTTTTTTATTAGACAGTGATCATAAATACAACAAATTTTTTTTTTAAGAAGTCAGCACTGGGTGGATGAACCTCACGAGAGAAAAAAAAAAAAAAAAAAAAAGAGTCATATTTCACCTCAAAATCGAAATAATAATAAAAAAAATTGCATTAAAAATCAAGCACTTATTTTTATTGTTAGATTTGTTTGCATTGAAACAATTAAGCCAATTTTGCAAAAAAAAAAAAATTTCTCATCACTGTGATACAGCAACAAAAGCTATTTAAAAAAAAAAAAAATTCTATAAAGGCAGTACTATAAATATTACATTGATGTATCAATAATTGTAATTTTGTATATATATATTTTTAATTATGTCTTGCAATACAGTATTACTCTGTTTAATGTCATGACAATAACATTCTCCAAGCAAAAAATTAAAGAGGTTGCAAAAATGGGCTTCATTTCATGCAATATACACTTATTTTGGGGTGAATTGTGACCATTTTTTGACAAGTTTCATGAGATTCACCTGGATAAATATTTTGGTTCCCTTTTCAGTGATAGTGATTCCCATTGGCTCATGGGCGATCATGTAAATGTTGCTTTGCAACAATAGTTTAAAACAGTTGGTTTTCAAATGGCTGACTTCAGATACATAATAAATTGAGCCCTTCTGCAAAAGTTTATACAATCTGCGTTTCGTTGAAAACTGAAAATCAGTCTTGGTTAGGTACAAAGGAACTGTCAGGGATTGTATTAATGGCTTTTATGAGATCAGTAAACCTTGATTTGTTTATCTGTATTATCAGACCTCCAATAATGTCTTTAAATAGGAAAATAAGCCTAATACTTTCCTCTCTGAATATGGATACCGATACCTTGGTATGGATACCTTGTTTTCCTGTTCCAATTCAGAACCCTAACATCAAAAGACCACCATCACACCATGAAACATGCTTAAATACTCAAGTTCACTTGCATGAAACGCATAAAATGGCTACAAAAACAAATGACCTGGCAATAAATTCCTTTATCTCAGAAAGGATAGGCAGTACTCAGTTTGGCAGCCTGAACGCCTGCAGATTCGTAGAGATCATTTAATATAAATGCTGACTTAGAAGACTGAGAAGAGTTGAATATTATAAATCGAGATGGTTCGGCTACATCTAAACATGTGAATAACTGCACATTTGCATAAAGGCACAGTCTTGACGTCTTCAAGTCTCGAAACTGGTTAAGCGAAAATTGCAGTCCTGAAGAAAAAAAAAAAGAAAGTGCGCAACATGATGTTTACACCCAAATACACTAAAATCAACCCTGAGATAAAGACAGAGGTGTTCCTTTAAACTGAAAAAATAAAGATGATGTTACCCAGGTGGACCTAGGACTTCTAGATCCTAAAAATACCTACAAGAGCGTTTTAACATGCTTTTGCCTTTTTAAACCAGGCGTTCGTAATCCATTTTAGTTGCTTCAAAACCAACAACAACAAAAAGCTTCTGCTTTTCTTTGTTTCTTTCAAACAAATTTTGGGTAAATTCGTGCTATCCTTAAAGTCTACACTGTGCTTCACAGTGGTTGCCTAAACGAAGTTGCAATATCCAATCTTAACGATTGCTTAAATGTCGAAAGCTCACACCAAAGCGACAGTAATAACGAAAATAATAAAAACAATAGAAATCAACTCCAACTTAAGAGAAGTTCCACCAAAATAGGTGCTTTTAAGGTTGTGGTAGGATGTCTCAAGAGACCATTTATATGCTAGCAGGAAGAAAAAAAAACTAAAATAAAATAACCTCGAACTTAAAGCTAAATTAATGAGCCTGACAGTGTAAGTGAAGAGATCTCGCCGCCAAGGAAGCAACTACATGGAAGGATGCAAGTTTGAGATTTACAGTGCAAGTGTTTTAAAAAAACCTAATACAATACTGATCGCGGATTAGCTGACGGAAATATAATGTTGTGGACTTTAACGTTAAGGCAAATTTAAGAGTTGCCAAGGTCTGTGCAGATTCTGCCAACACATTATCCTCATATTGCGTCTTTGCTTGTTTATTTTGGTTAGTTTGATAAAGCCGTCAGTTTTTCTTCCAAAATCTGCACAGAAAATCTGAAAAATGTCTGCAGATTCTACGAAGTTTTACTTTTGTACCCAACAACACGGCAGAACTGGCTGATGGCGGGACTATAAAGATAATTGGAATTGACGTAACTACAAACTCAATTTTTGGTTGGGTCGGAAACAACCAATTCCAAATAATGTGAAATATGGAAGCATTCATGCTTAGTGGTTTTTCCATCTGAACAGATTTGGAGAAATTTAGCATTACATCACTTGCTCACCGATGGATCCTCTGCAGTGAATGGGTGCCGTCAGAATGGGAGTCCAGACAGCTGATAAAAACATCACAATAATCCACAAGTAATCCACACCACTCCAGTCCATCAATGAATGCCGTTTCTTACAAACATGCAGCTTTTCACATTACATTTTTTTTATTTAAACTTTAAACCGTTGCTTCTGACCAAAATATGCGTCTATAATCTATAATAATGCTTCCTCCAGTGAAAAAATCCATCCTCTGTTGTCCACTCACATCAAAATCCATATCTGTTTTTGCACTGTTTTCAATTATAAATGGTGCTTGATCTGTGCATATTTCTCTTCTGGTTTAAATGACATGACTTTTTTTCACTGAAGAAAGCAATATTATGGACTTGTATTTTAGCCAGAAGCAACAGTTTGAAGTTAAAAACGTCTTAAAGATGGATTTGTTCATTACAAAAACGCATCTTTTCGCCTTACAAGACATTAATTAATGGATTGGAGTGGTGTGGATTACTTGTAGATTATTGTGATGTTTTTATCAGCTGTTTAGACTCATTTTGACGGCACCCATTCACTGCAGAGGATGCATTGGTGAGCAAGTGATGTAATGCTAAATTTCTCCAAATCTGTTCTGATTTTGTTCTACTTTTTGGGTGAACTATTCCTTTCAAAGGTAAGGAGTCCAAGCTTTTCAAGTCCAAACAGTCTCCTGCAAGACATGTGACAGTAAAGCAAAGTATAGGAGCTCAGTTAATCCCCCGATCAGTATTAAAATGAAGTCCAGGAGAACTGTGATGTACACGCTTGAGCCCAGCCTGTAGGGGAATTCGATCGAACCGGCCCATCAAAACAACGTTCTTTAAACTTCAAAGACGAAACGGAGAATGAAGGAGAGTCTTGAGGTGGCTACAACTGGATCAAAGTCTTTCTTTTTGCTTTGAATATACGCCACATCTTTCAGGATGAGAAACATCACATATACAAAAAAACTAAACAAAAATGTGGCTTGATCTGAAGATCGTAATTTCACTGACAAAGTGAAGAGTAGTATATACGCACTCTTACAACAGAATGCATCTGAATGCATTACCGTAGTGGCTTTCTTTCCATCCTCAGGATGGAAAAATTTAACTATACCCACTATGAAAAAACCAGAGTAACCTGGATTATTTCTATTCACGTCCACAAAATATAGAGGCCGAATAATGCATCCCTGAGGACATTACCACAGAAAATGATGATTACAGGCGGTTCAATTGAAATCCCACAGGCAGTGTAGTGTAATATGATGAAAACAATACAAGGGCCCTATTAAGACTGGAAAAGGCTTTTGGGTTTGTTGGCATGAGAGCAATTGAGGTCAAATCAGTGAACATTGGGGTTTACGAGTATTTCTATAACAGACAATAATGTGCATTGCAGCAATCACACTGTAAAAGCCTAAATGAAGCCTAATGTATGAAACATGATACATAGTTTAAACCGTCAAAATTGGTTGAATATGCAGCAAGCCTGCAGTTATTGTAAAAAAAAAAAATCTATTTAAACACTGTAAACTCTGACAGAAGTGTAAACGCCACACCAAGCACGACAAAGAGCGTAACTACCGAAAACGTAGCACATAATGATAAAAATGCAATTTTGAAACCCAAGATAGTGGATTAATGATAGTTAAACAACATAACTGAGATCATCTTATATGTTGTCTGACATACACTTAAGACTGTGAATTTTTCGGATTCACCCTGATTTACGCGGCTATGAAAAAGGCTAGTTTCGGGAAGGAGGTGAACAAAAAAACAGGAAGAAAATACTCGACAGCAGATACTGCTGTAAAAAGAAACTAAATCAGGGCATGACTGTGCAAGTCTGCTGAGGCACATGCACAGTGAATCCCACCCATATTTGCCTGATGGGTGTTTGAGGGTCAGCGGAGGAAGCTAAGCGCTCAGGATTAAGCAAATGAATACAGCGATGATGGATCATCCTACTCTAGAGGGTTAACCTGGCATAATAGAGGGGTGGTGGTTGCGGAAGGGGAATCTGAGGTAGAAAGAGCCAGCTAGGAGTGGACGACTCCGTTCTTGGGCAAATCAGGGCTGCTGGCCACCTGTTCGGAGGACAAACTGAGAGATGACGTCTTGCTGGTCAACGAGGACAAGCTGCTGCTGACGAGACCACAGTCCTGGACCAAAGCGATGGAGCCGTTTGAGCCCTCACTACAATTAAAGAGAGAAAGGCGATGAGAACTACCGTGATGGACACAAGAAAGCACAAATCTTGACTTAAAAAAAATATATATACATACATAAATAGCACTTACACAACTGAAATGTTACTGGTAAAAAAAAATATATTTTTCTTTTGATTTATTATGTATATTAGTTATATTTCACCTAAGAGTGAGTAGATGTTCATCTCGTTGCAGAGTGTGTTCGTCTTGTCCATTTTCCACTGAGACCCGCTTGTACTTGCCATCGTGGTTCTCCTGAAGGCAAAATAATGTAAATCACATGACTTCCTGAACTTCACTGAGTGAACAGAGATATAAAAGTTACTCAAATTATACTCCACAGTACCAGTAAAAAAACAAAAAAACACTACTCTTACAAATGACCTTGCTTAAAAATGGATTTTCTGCTCAAGAAATGGCCGCAGTCACATGAATCATTCACCGGTAATAGAATATATTAATTATGAATAATTAATAGAAGCTCTATAAATTGCATGTCTCGCTTACCATGGCCATCTCCTGTGTCCTCATGACGATATCTCTCTCCACCTGGTGCAGCTCGAGACTCAGCTGTTCACTGGACAAATTCCCAGACGACCAGTCCACTCGAGACGGCTGGGACATGACTGAGCTCGGGTTCTGCCAAAAGAGAGAGTGAAAAGCTGAATCATTAAAATAACAACAACTAAAGACATATATATATATATACATATATATATTTGTGTGTGTGAAAATATATATCAGGAGCATTTCCTTCAAGGAGGCAAGGGATGCAGTGCCTCAAAATATTGGATAAAAAAAAAAAAATTTAGTACGAAAATAAAACATCATTACAAAATATAACATTAAAAAGAGTATAAATCAGTCGTTTTTTCTAAAGAAACATTGTCCAACAGTGACACCAGCAGGAGTCTGCGCCTCTCTCGCCTCCCCTGAGCCCACTGAGTTTTAACAGAACTCCTAAAGCGTGCGGTGAGTTTGGTGGGGGGGGTAATTGAGAATGAATGGGAGAAAGTCACGTGAGTGATAAATGATTGGATATGACTGGTTATGTCCGGCTGTGATTGGCTCATGCGATAAATCCCGCCTCTTGTGTTTGCAAATCAGTCTGAATGAACAATATAATGGCGTTAATGGGAAGACTAATAAAAAATAAAAAAAAGTAAACAACTCGCACAATTATATAACCATTTTTAACCAAGAAAATGTGACTGGGACATGAATTTATATTTGATTAAAAAAAAAAACTTTCAGGACTTTGCCTCCTCATTTCAGAACACCATCACATTTAGAAATTAAATAAAATTCCAATTAGAAAAATTATATTAAAAATGTACATTTTATATATATCTTATTAGGTGCACACACTTTATTTAAATTGTTATATACAGTCAAACCAAAATTTATTGACATTCAACATTTCTCACATTATCACAGTTTATTCGCTATAGTTTAGAAAATGGTAATAAAATATAACAAGACTCAGAGTTAAACTGTGTCAGAACAAATTCATAATGTCAGATAACTTTGATAGAAAGGTATGTAAGGAGTTAGAGTGAATAGCTGTCAGCTGTTAAATTTAAGTACACAATTAGATAATACAAATTTAGGTCAATCAATTACCAAGCAATGCTTAATTTTGTTCAGTCTGTGGGTGTAAAAAAGGTCACATTAGCAATTAAAGAAAAAAAACAAAAAACACTTAAGCAAAACATGGTCAGGTCAAAGTGTCTGAATAATTTTTGGTCCCAAATTTTTTATCAATTTTACTGGTAGTCCACTGTGTGAAGAAATTTTGGGTATGTCGCAGTTTACTTTATTTTGCTATGCTCACTTACATAAATGAACTATAGTGTCCTGCACCCACTAGTAAAAATAAATAAATATATAAAACATTATATCTGGTGTCTGAATAATTTTTTGTTTGACTGTTTATTTTAAATATAAATATATACACACTATATTCAAAAATATTCCATACATAAATAATATAAAAAAAAGGAAATCAAATAAATAAATAAAAATATATACCGTTTATAAAAAATAATTATGTATTTATATTTTTATATATATAAGTGGATTTTTTACACTTTGGTGTCATTTAGTAGTATTAATAAATAATAATAATAACAATAAATCAAATAAAAATAAATCTTTAAAATATATATAATTTTACTCAAATAGATTTCAGAAAATATAATAAATTATATTATATTAAGCAAAATTAGAAATATTAATGTTTTTAATAAAATTACAACACAATATCAATATGAAAATTAAAAATAAAATATGAAAAATATAATAAGAAATTACTATAATTTTACTCAAGAGTATTTCATTATTATTATTACTACATGTATTTTATTACAATACTGTATAAATAACAATAATAATAACAATAAATAAAATTAAAATAATTAATAATTTTAATAAATAAAATTACAATAAATATTTCAGAAAAATTCTAATTATTATTATTGTTATATTATACAATTAAATACTAAATATTACTATTAACGTTAAGTATTACATATATTCAACACAAATTACAAAATATTTGACTAAAACCGTATTTTATTACTACATGATTTTTAAAATTACAATACTGTATAAATAACAACAATAACAACATTAACAATAAATAAATAAAATTTAAATAAATCTTTAAAATATATTTGACTAAAATAGATTTCAGAAAAAGATAATAATAATAACTATTATTATATAAAACAAATTACAATAAAATATCAATATGAATATAAATAATAAAAATATCTATTATTAAATACAAAAAAAACTAAATAGGAAATTACTATAATACTTTACTAAAACAGAGTATTTCATTATTATTACTACATGAGTTTTAAAATGACAATACTACTACTATGTATAAATAATAATAATAATAATATTAACAATAAATAAATCAAATTAGAATAAATTCTTGAAATAGATATCATTTTACTAAAATAGATTTCAGATAAAGATAATTTTAGAGTACCAGTTATACCATTATTATAACTATTTATTTATTTTTTACAAATCTAATTTACGGCTATCTTAATTTATTTAGTTTACAACTTTAAACCATTGTTTCATTTAGATTAAACATGCATCCCTTCTACATTTTGTTTAGTATTATTATTATCGTCGATTAAATATTCTTCCTCTGGCTTACATGGCTCTGCCCCCTCATGTCCTGAGGGTAGCTGGGGTCGTATGAGTGTGAGGAGCTGAAGGGTGACGGGGAAGCCACCTTTCTCTCCTCCAGCTGGGCCATGATCTCCTGTCTTCGGCGGTGCAAGTAGTCTAGGGAGGGCTGAGGTCGTGTGTAGGCATTCTGGGGACACATTATCAGAGATTAAGTTTTCTTTAGCTTTTAAATGAGACCAGTATAGTTTAAATATAGCAGGTAATGGATCTTACCCTCGGGTAATTCCTGATGTGACTGGAGTGGTTATAGTTGTCTGGCTCTGGCAGGTACGAAGCGTTTTGGGGTGGTAGCGGCGGGGGAACATCCGGACTCCTTCGCACCAGTTCCTCCCGTGGGGGGAATGTCTGGGGATGGGCGTAGGCTGAGTGGCGACGGCCGTCATGGTGTGAAGGGTATCCGTAATGAGAGCTGGGGTTGGCGCACTGGCGCTCTGAAGTGTAGGAGCTGGAATAGGAGTCCGGATATGGTGGCATGCCTGGATCTGGAGTCGGGTGGCGGGCGTAGCGTGGGTGCACATGGTGGTGAGGATAAGGATTACCTGTTGAAAAGAGGAAAATTAAGATTTTTTAAAGTGGAAAGATTTAGAAGCGCAAAATGTAATGCGTTTACTCAAAAGAACAACAATGTTTTGGTACCTGCAGGGTACTGGGAGGATTCATATTGGGCGGAGGGTGGCAGAGGGCCTCTTGTATCAGAGTAATACCGTTCAGACTGGTGTGGTGAGTACATGTGAGGAACTCTAGGCACCGCAGGCATGTGCTTCTGTCCGACTGCGCCTTCGCCCGCTACCCTGCAGTGGGAATTTATGAGCATCCCTGGTTTTGGGATGGATTCCAATCTGTAAATCAAGAGATGAAGTGCACAATCACTCTGCACTCTTGCTTTATTAAAATTAAAACAATTTTGACTTAAATGAACATTTCATGTCCATTTATTCATTTATATGGCAAGTAGTCAGTTGGAGTATGTAATAAATTGGATAATGTATAGCAGTGTCATTATTGTTAAACTATTAATAAATCAATAATTTTGATTAGTTTATTAAAATTAAGCTGAATTTTAGTGCTTTAAAACTTATTTCAGTTAGCTGCCAATTAGGGCTGCACGATTAATTGAAATTAAATGGCGATAAATCACGATTAGGCAGAAGCTGCGATCGTCATGCGTATCTTTCAGTGAAGCACGGTTCTGTGATCAGCAGTAAATCTCCATTCGAAGGCCAGAGGGCACTCTCGCGCTGAAATTCCAAATACGCCCCGCAGAAGAAACCCAGGAAATCCCTATAGTGGTTGCTGAATAAACAAGATTTAACTGCTTTCATTGATTCAACGTGACTAATAAACACACAACTACTGAGTTTATCTGCGTTCGTCTTATTATAATTTTCATTATAATAAAGTATATCTATAATGCAATGCTAATCGACAGCCTTTATCATTGCTTAGAATACTATGAAATATGTTGCATGCCTTATTCTGTGTAAAAAGCCACATCATCTCAAAGAAGGATTTATTTCAAACACTCGACTGACGTTATGAAGTGAGTTTGGAGTAAAAACATGTTATTAAATGTGGTATTTTTACATGCTTTCAAATGGAGCAGCATTTTATAATCGCAGAACGATATCTTGGATTTCATTATAGCGTGATTAAATCGTCTGCGATTATGAACACGGTTTTGCGTAGCTTGTCAGTGAACTACAGCTCTGAGTAGTAAATGCTGCTGGAGATTTACTACTGATTACAGAACCAGCTTTACTGACAAGATGCGCATGACAATCGCATGCGATTAATCGCGCAGCCAATGCAACATTTCTAGTTTTCCGTTAAGTTTATCATCTTATAAATAAAGTATATAAAGTATAAATATTAGATGACAAACTTAAAAGTGAAAATAAGTTGAAGCACTAAAACTAAAGTAAAAATAAATTAAAGCCAAATAGAAATAGTAATAAAAAAATTTATTAAAAGTAATAAAAAGTGCACAAAATTACTAAATCTGAAATAAAATAAAGCTAAATATAAATATAAAAATACCAATAAAAATAAGAGCACATAAAAATGACTAAAACCTAAACTAAAATAGAATGAATCCTGAAAATAAAATGCAAATAAAAAATATGAATAAATACTATAATAGTATATACATAATAACACAGATGTATAGACAATTAGTCAGTATCGCAAAATTTAGAAAAGTGAAAAACTGTAAAATAATAATAATCAAATAATCAAATAAATAAAGTGCAGCTGCTACTAATACTGTTATTAGGGTTGTCAAAAAGTACCGAATTTTAAAAATGAGACGATAGAGATATCTGCTCATAGATGGATCCGCTGACAGATGCAGCTTTCAAGCTCTCCCATGTCCTTCTGTGTGAGCTCTTCGCTCGGTGAAGAGCGTGAAGCAATGATCATTGTAGCCAATCACAGACATATCTGTTGAGCGTGTGAACACAGTGGCCAATCAACAGTAGGGATGTAACGATTAACTGCGAGCCGGGTGAAAATCGATTCAAATATGTGACGATTCAAATCGGTTGAGATGCTAAACAAATCGCGATTCATTTAGGGGTAGGAGTTTATATGAATGTATGTCTGAGGGGAACTTACTGTCTTTAGAAAAGTTTAGATGGTATTTTTTCTTTTCATCTTGCCTCTGTATAATGCATATTAAGGTTCGTAAGTTCACCGCTGCTGTGTTTACAGCGGCAACCAGGAAACGGTTTAAGCGCCACCTGCTGGCAGAGAGTGAATCTGCATCTCATTCAGCTTTGCTGTTTCATGCAGATATTTTTATTTATAGTTTCACAAAACTGAAGTCAAACCATTCTGTTTTTGCTTCAAATTTCGAAACTATACAATCTAATTTAGTTTAAAAACTGCTCATGTTGCATGTATGCAGCATCTTTGTTTGGATCAAGATTAAAATGCAGTGGTTGCCTCTAATTTTAAAAGGAAAGAGCACAGACAAAGCCTTATTTTGTTTATATGAAGAGATTTATTTTATTTGTGTTACTTATTTATTTGATTTGGGGCTTGTTTTAAAATTTCAATTTAGTTTTATTTACATTTACATTATATTTAAATTTTGTAATTTAGCAGACGCTTTTATCCAAAGTGATTTACAAATGAGGACAATAGAAGCAATCAAAACCAACAAAAGAGCAGTAATATGCAAGTGCTATATTAGTATATTATTATAGCATTATATTTCAATTTCACAAAGAAATGTGCAGCATTTTGTCCAAGCAATAATAAAAGGACACATTTAATTTATAATTTGTCTTAAATCTAATTTTGTAAAAAAAAAAGTATAATAACCGTGAATCGAATCGAATCGTGAAATCAAAACCGTGAATCGAATCGAACCGTGAGCTGAGTGAATCGTTACATCCCTAATCAACAGTGTTTAAGAGTCCATCAACAGCGCTTAAGTTCTAGCGGGAAATGCTGGTATTGTCTCATTTTTTAAATTTCAGTATCGAATGGTACCGAAGTTGGTACTTTTTGACAACCCTAACTGTTATAATAATATGATATAATATAATACATGTTATAAAAATAATAAAAGCCATTTCATTCTTTCTAAACACTGGTTGAAAATCATGAGACAATTTTGATATATTTTGATCTATTCATTATTTTAAGATATTAGCAGTTACTAACTAATAAAACATTACTATTAATATTTTACAGTTAATATTTATAATATTTTATTTTAAACATAGGTCTATACATGAAAATTTACATTATACTTTACGAAAGGGATCCTTAGAAAGGGGATATTCTCATTGGCAATATGTGGTGTAAAAAAGTTTGACATCCCCCATGCTAATATACGATTTATTTCCCACCACTAATAAACAAATAAACTCACGAGTCTGGAGGTGAGCCAGGTGCACTGAGGCTCCCAGACTCCATCTTCCCTGGTTTGTGTGTTGGGTCATATGACGGGTCCGAGCCTCTGGAAACCAGGTGGGCCAAGGTGGAATCAGGTCCTGTTGCTAGGATGACGTTAGTGATGGAGGAGTGTTTGCGTGGGATTCCCTCCATCGGAGGCCCCTCGTCAGGCAACAGACCGGCGCCGAAGTCCATCTCGTTCAGCTGGGTCAGGGACTGGCTGAGCTGTCGCCTCATTCCCAAACGTTTATTCATCTTACGGTACCTGTCGTCAGAGAAGAGGTGGTGAGGCTGATGCTAATGCTTATTACGCTTTATTTAACGTACTTAAAAGTCCTGTGTACTTTTCAAGCTCTTCCTGAGAGTGAGCGAAGGTGCAACTTGCTCCGCGAGGACAGCCGCCTTTTTGTTTCATGTCCCGACACATGTAGGTCTTGTATTTGCTGTGCTGAGGTGGCTGTGGGCAGAAAGTGAGATATGCTTACTCATTTCTGTGCAAGTTATTCGAAAGACCGGATTTAAAAATAAATTAAATAAAAAAATAAAGCTAAATAAAAACATAAAAAATTGACAAAAGCACATAAAACCATTAAAATAAATAAATAAAGCGACAAAGTTTGAACTGAACTGAAAATATACAAATAAACGCCAATTCAAAATATTAATAAATACTGTAATAGTATATAAATATTTAAATATACCTGATGTATAGATAATTAGTAAGTAAATAGATAGATACACAAATAAATAAATTAATACGTTCTAAAAAAACTGGCCAAAAATCATAAGGCTATTTTGTTTACTTATTTAATTATTATATTTTAATTGTTTTAGCATTTTGATCAATTACTATATTAATAGTTATGAAATATTTATATATTGAAAAGTTTGTGATCTGGTTACCGACCTGTTGCTCAGCACTTCATTTCTACATAAATGAATGCTAATAAATTAAAGCTAAATATAAATATATATTTAAAAAAACAAAAACGAAGCACAAAGTTTCTGAAACGTAAACCAAAATTAAAAATGAAAATATAAAAGCTGACTTAAAATAATGAAATACTACAATAGCATATAAATAACACTAAAATAACACATATATAAATAATGTCATTATCGCAAAAAACTGAATAATAAATAAAATAAAATAATGTTAAAATAAAATAAATAAATAATAAAAGAAGTGCTGCTGCTACTAACTAAATAGAAAGTAATAAATAAATAAATGTAAAACTATTAAATATTTTTAAAAATTTATATTTTACATCTGCAATTTGGTTACCGACCTGCTGCTGATCCCCTCCTTTTTTGCTGTGGTTCTGGATGAAATCCACCAGGCCGTGAACGACGGTCCGCACCGCTTCCAGCCCTTTGGCTAGCTGCTCCCATGTGGGTGCAGGGGCATCTGTTAGTACAAAAAAATCAGACATTTATGTTTTTATGAATGGCTGTACTGACAAATGTGTGAATGGAGCAGGCTGACGGACCTGGGCTGGGGTCGATGTCGGCCAGGAGCTCCAGGTGGGGTCTGAGGCAGTTGAGATTGGCTGGATCTCCGGTTCTCTGAAGGGCGATGGTGAGTTCTTGCACACTCTGAGCAAAGGATGCTGGTGTCTGCAGCTGAAACACACAAAGCCACATAAACACATACTTCACATACCAGCAGACAAAATCAACATGTTTTTCTGCACGATGTGACGTTTGCTAAACCCTAAATGCGTCCTCTACACAGGGAGGGGTGTTACTGGAGAATTTAAACACGTAACAATTGGACATACAATTTTTTTTTTTTTGCAGACCTGCCGTAAAAAAACTACAGCTCCACCTAGTGAAATCTTAAAATAATACTCTGAACAGGATATGTTTGGAAAATTTAAGGCGTAATTACCTAGGCACTTTGAACCACAATTTATAAACAAAAAGCCATTTTTATTTATCATAATACACGTTCTCATCATACCTTGTCTATGATGGACTGCATGTGGGATTTGTGCGACTGGTCACCGTACAGTAGAGATGACCACTGGTCAGGGGCGATACGCAGTCCGCCCTCCATCGCGATCTGAACGATCTGAGAGTCGTGTTCCCTCCGAAGAGCCTCGTATGTGCGAAACTCATCCTTCAGCTGCATCAAGGAGGAATCTTCGTCACGTTTGGTCACCTGAGATTAAAACAAAATTTTATATATTTTATATAAATACAAATGCAAATATTTAAATACAGATGAAAATTACAATTTTTTTTTTTTTTTTAATACGTTACTAATAGTTTATATACATTTAGAAAATATTTTAAATCTGAAAGAGATCAGCTGACATCAAATTTAATGTTATTTTTAACTGTAATTTAATATAAATACAAATAAAAGAATGAAAATACAATGAAAATACTACACAATAAAAGCATTTTGCTTCCATATTAATTATATATATGCATTATTAATCATTTTGATCTTTTATTTAAAAAAATTATAATATATAATAATATATTATAATTTAAAATAATAATATAATATAATATACACACACACACAGCCGTTGATTTTTTTAAATGTTTTTTTAAAGACGTTTCTTATGCTCATCAATGCTGTATCTTTTTGATCAAAGAGAA